TTAGGGAAGAGAAGGGCAGTTAGTATGATTTTATCACGAGATTTCTGGTTTTATCTGGGTGTTGCAGAGAGAAAATTGGAATTTATGAAATCTGTGGGGTCAGAAATATGGCATATGAAAGAACCCAAGCAGTGCTTACCTGAGGCCTCATGACTTTTAGCCATTGTGTAGCAGTGACTGACTCAGACTTATGTCAGAGTTATCCTCGACTTAGCTTTTCAGAGGAGTATTCTTGCTAAAGGCAGGCACTGTTCAGCTATTGAAAAGCTATGTTCTCTCTCTTGGGGAGAATAAAGATTAGAAACAAAATCTTATACTTCATGCTCTGGTGAATGCTATGCCCTGCTCTCATATTTACAGAGCACTTGAGTCTTTCAAGAATTTTCAGATAACAGCCATTAAATCCCTGCAGCAGTTATCTTTATGTCACAGAGAAGGAAAAAAAGACACCTGAAATTTAAACTGACCCATGTGATCTTCCTCAGGTTAGTCAGCAGAGCAAGGATGTAACCTTGCAGAGGTTCCTGCTATACACCCCTCAGCTTACTCTCTCGCACAGCTTGCAAAGACAGAAAATAGCAAACCACAGTCCCAAAGATGCCATAAATACTTTCTTTCAGTTGCAGCTTCAGGAGAGCCTGGTTTCTGGCAGCAGACCTCCTTAAAGAACTCTCGAGATGCCAAATCTCTCTGTGCATGCGATGCTCTGTATCCATCTTCTACGAGATCTGCTTCTTGGTAGTACTTTGAGAATCTGATCCTCCACTTAAGGTCAGGATTCATCCTGTATACAGGCATGCTTGGCATATAGCTGTGGCTATGGCTCTCAAGCACTGCTGCTATTGTGGAAATGAACGGAATTAGTCTCTAGTGAGGGACTCGTAACCGAGATTCCTGTTACATCATATGTGCAACAGCCTGCAGGGTGTTGCTGAATCATGCACCAAATCTTCCTGTGACAGTGCAGAATGCTGCAGCAAGCACATAAGCGAAACACCATTTAGGGTGAAAAGACTTGTCTTTGTTATCTTCCAGTGGCAGACTAGTGTGAGAATGTTAAAATACTGTATTAAGTTAGCTGTTATAGGAAAGGGAGAAGAATGATGCTTCAGAGTTATATGTCCACTAAAATTGAAGTTTGGATAGTATGCATTCAGAAATAATTTTATTTTCCAGTAATGACAATACGCAATATCACGTAAGAAATGAAATTGAAGAATTGATCTTATTCTTCAAATACAGGATAGCTTCAATATTAAAATTAACATATAAATTTAGCATCAATCTTATTTCCCCACTCACGTCCGCTGAGTAAATGCACATAAAGAATGAATCACTGAAACAGTATACTGAGGGAATCAAAGTCATTTTTCAAAGACGTCTGCACAAATGTGAGGTGAGCCTGTTCACCAAGCATCCAACAAATGTTGCAGAGGTGGCCCTTCAGACCCATAAGGAGGGCAAGTCAGAGACCCCAGGGGGAAGCAGCACAACTACCAGCAAAGACAAGGCAGGGGGGAGATGGGGCAGGACATCGCCATTGTATGGTGCTCACCCCCCACCCTGAGTCTTCCCTTATCTACAGGCGTGTGAGCTGCTGTAGAGCATGAGCGTCGCATTAGGCTCTCCACAGCATTCCTCTGAGGGAGAAATTATTATCATTATTGTTTATGTCATCATCAGCCTTATTTACCATGTCACAGCTAGAGGTTAGCAGGCAGGGATTAAGCAGCGTGCCTGTGGGGCAGCAGGTATCCTCTGCAGAGACCACTGCCCTGGTCTCTGCTGGGCTGATGACAACCAGAGCTATGGGCAGGAAGGGCTTCCCGGGGCGTTGCCATTGGTTTTGTGTGCACCCAGGAGAGCGAACAGTGAAATCACCTGCCTCACAGCAGAAAAAGCAGCCCCGGGGCACCCCGGGGAGGCACCCAGCAGCTGCTCATCCGGGAGCAGGAACTGTGCACACGGCAAGGAGTGAAGCTCTATTGCTCCAAGAAAGCCACAGCTGCTCTAGTAATCACCCAAAAAAAAAAAGTAAAATAAAAGGACCCCCTGGTTTCTGGGCTTCAGCAGAGACTTGGCCAGGCTCATGCCGTCTTTCTGGATGCTTAAATTCGCTTTTTTCCTCTGCGAGTTTCTGACCATCAATGTCTATAGCTTTACACCCCATCACCTATAGCTCTTCCACAGGATGAAGCATCTGCTCCGGCAAAAGGAAATGCCCTTTCTTACCACAAGATGGAGCTGGAAAACTCAGGGTTGGGGAGTCGCGGCTCAGGCCCTCCCCCGGCGCCTCGGGAAAGGATGCTGCTCAGGACCAGTCCTGCGGCTGCCAGCTGCGCGGACCCGCTCAAAGCACGGGCTGAGACAGAATGGGGCCCCCAGGGCACAAAAGGGGCTCCCTCGCCTCAAGGTTGCCCTTGCTGCAAGGGTGGTAGTGGGTGATGGGCAGCCCGCATGGCGAGGGGCTGCGGGAGGTCCCTGCTCCGCACAGGCAAAAGGACGTCCTGCCAGCACGGCAAGGGATCCTTGCTGTGGCAGCTGGAGGTGAGAAATCACATTGGCCTGTAGTGCCAGCCTGGAAATACAGCTGTGAATACAGCGTGAATATCACGGCAGGCCAGACCGTATTTTTGACCAAAAAATAGTATTCTGGGTAGCCAAAATAGTGTGTGGTCAAACAAAAGCCATTGTTCAACATCAAAACTTGCCTTGTTGATCTTGAACACATTTAAGTTTACTGCAAAATAAAAAAAAAAAAAGGAAAAAAAAAAGATAATTTTGAATTGGGTCAAAAGGTATTTTATAACAGGACAAGGATTATTTTAACTTGTTTCTTTTTCAGAAACAGTTTATAAAAAAAGATCTAATTATTAAAAAATAAAGTGCCACTGAATCTGCGTAATCGTTCACTTCACTTTAGCCAAGAGTCACGTTTCTTTGAAAGATGTGTCCCAATTCCAAGATGCCAAAATTCTGTTTTCTGAAAACCCACAGCCAGTAGTGTGTAACGTCAGTATGAGCTGTGGTGGGCACCACTGTTTGGTCTTTCTGATGGAGAAGATTCGCTCTCTGTAGCAAAGACAGCAAAAAAAGAAAGATTTTTAATTCAGGGCACAAGGATCCGTATGCAAAGGTTTCTGCTGGAGGGAAATCGGCTTGGTGCATGAGCTCAAAAACAGAGCTCCTGGACCTATCTGCTCTTACCTACCCTTCGATGCTTTATTTCTCCATGATGCTGGAGCACAGCATTTCGCTGCCTCATCCCCTTTCTGTTTGCAAGATCAAGCCTATATTACCTATTACTTTTCTTTCTGGAATGGCTGGAAGATTAATTTGTTTACAAGTGCCCCGTGAGTGCAGGCAAGTCTGTCAGTACAAAATTGTAATTCAGCGTTTATGAAAATTCCAGATGTTCTCACATTTACACTTCCATAAGGGAAGCTTTTTTTTCCCCCCTCTTTCCCCTTGCTTTTATGTCTTTGCTCTGTAGGATTACCAGCAAATTGCTTTTCTGAACAGGTTAGAAAATTATGCAAGAAGAAGTATATTTCTGTTAATTTATCCCCTAAGGAAAATAAAATCCTTATTTTATTCTCCTTTTTGTGCATGTTCAGTACACTTATAAAATGCAAGATTCACTGGGTACACAAACCTTACAAAATATGAAATGCCAAATGAGAACACAGGCATTTGTATCAGCAGTGACACCAGATAACATGCCTGATATATATTACAATTTTATAAGCCCATCTGCTTTAGAGCCCAACTTCAGGGCAACCTCAATTTTTTTTGAGGTGTGGGACTAATCCATACACCTGACAGGTCTGGCAGCCATTTCACCTGCATTCAGAGGTGTGCTTTGGAAAAGCCAACTGTCAAGCAGATGCAGTCACTTGTGAACGTGGAAAAAATGGCACTGAAACCTTAACAAACTTTTAAGTGGACAATTAGTTTAGTGGCATTCCTCATTAGAAGCAATTTCTAGTATTACTCTGACACACATAAGATATGCAGTGTAATCAGTGCATGCAAACATGCAATAAATTGTTCAAACCATAACTTTTCTAGATTAAGGGAAGTTGCCATTTGGCTAAACATTGTTTTAAAGAAATGCCTGCTATTACATCCTATTTCTTTTTTTCTACTTCTACAGTATAGGAAAGAAAAGATGCTTCTGAAGCATCAGGAGAGCCTGTTTCTCTGCTTGTTGTGGCTGTAGCAAGCTCTGCTTTACTCAGCTGAGCTTGGAAGTGTCTGCAGTACATACTCAAGACAACTCAGCTTTCCTAATGACAGTATTTGCCTTATCCCAGCTGCAAGCTACAAGGCAGGGAAACAGAACTTGGACTTGGAAAAGAAGCTTCCTTTGACTGCAGTTGCTGGAGCTGGACATTTTAACCCCAGCTGAGGATCAGTCAACTCTCTATCTTCAAAAGTGTTATTTGCCCAGTATAAATGACGTAAACCAAGATCAACATCTTAGTTTATTTTTCTAGATTCCTTAGCATGCTACATTAACCTGACAATGCTTAATCTGGTGTTCATTTCACAATACACTTCATGCAATTCACAGCTGTAATTGGTTTTACACTGACATTACACATTTTGACCTAGCAGTGGGAAAAGAATAACTCTTAATAATATTTCTCTGAAAAGCGTCCCAGCTCAAATGGCACAGAAGCAGCTCATGCTAGTTTCATGTGCATATTTCTTTCTTCTGCCTTTTCTTTCACTGCAAGGATGATCACCGGCATAAGATTGTAAAGTCATTGATTTAGTCCATTTGCAATTGAACTACGTTTGTTTGATTTCTTGTGTCCTGAGGAGTTCTCTCTTATAAAACAGCATTCAAGTATTCTAGTTTAACATCCCCATTTTTCTGAGTTAAGGAACAAAGTAGACCTTGGGTTTCTGTTTCCATTATGAGTCTTCCGGAGTCCCATAACTGATAGCCGTAAAGTCTTCCTTTGTAACACACACTCAGCACTAAAGCCAGAGTATTGCTATTTGGCATTATCCAGTGAAGTGCAAGAAATTAAATAAGTTATGTCTTTATTGCTATAGTACAATACCAAGCAAAGTCACTTTTTAATACAATTGCGAGAGTTTCGTGGAGTACCTGTCCCTCCTCTTAGGGCCCAGTAGTTCAGCTGCACTGCAAGTTATCACTTCTCTATCACATGTTGAATGTCAGTCTAAGAAGATGTGTTGAGTATTCTTGAATCTGAAGAATCAGACCTTTCCTCATACTCATCTTCTGTGTAAATCGGTTGCTTAGACACAATAGGACACCCATCATCAGGGATTGAGATCCTAGGATCTTCTGAGGAGCGGGAAGGAAGGACAGGCGAGCTTCGGAAAACGCTGGCCGAGTTGCTAGAGAAAGGACTGACGTACTGGGACCGCAGCTGGTACTGCTGCTGCAGTGTCATGGTGTTCCACAGGGTGACGTCGTTGGGCAGGAATGGGCTGGATTGGTTTCTTGCCAAAGTGTTCCTCAGCATCAGCGGGTAGCGTGGTGGCTGAGGAAAGGGGTGCTGCAAAGGTACCGCTAGAGGGTTTGGCACGACATTACTGGAATCAGCAGAGAACCTCAGTGTGTCTGGAACCCTAAATGCTGAGCCCACAGACCACTTGGAAGAAGAAATAGGGTACGAACTCAGCGTGTGCTCGAAAATGTGCCCATTGGAAGGCAAGACAAGACCATCAGACTCTGTGGTAGTTCTCTCCCCACTGGCCACCGAAGACCGACTGGACAGGAGAACTTCTACAGCACTCACCAGATCACCGCCACACCCTTTCAGGATCAACTCCAGCACAGTTGGCTTTTGGTTAGGGAAGATTTTTTTCAAGACTTCAAGCGGAGGTCTGTTGGCTTTCAAACTGAAAGGCAAAGAAACTGTCCCAGAGGGACCTTCTATCAGGAGGTGGTTCTGCTCCGGGTGGTACTTGGGGCTCTCTGGACGGCTCTCTGTGCTCCCACTGTTTTTCTGAACTGCGTAACCAACCTCATCCACTGAAACTATTTCAGGGCTTTCAGGGGTGAAGCAACTTTTGGTTTTAGTCATGTCTGGGGTACTCCTTTGGTCTGTGTCTTTGTCACTGTAGGTCTCAGCATTGTCCGTTCCACTGGCATCAGCCAGCCGCTCCTCATTCATGTCTGCAAAGAGAAGGCAGAGAAGTTAACGGAAAACTGAGGCCAAAGGCTTTTACAGGCATCTGAGGATAGAGTCTTCTTAAAGTGAGCAAAGCAGGATGCTAGGGAGAAATAAATTTTTTTTTTAAAAAAGAGAAGTTATTTTTCACAGAGATCCTGCTAAAATTAAGGTCTTTTTGCAACAGCTCTCAAGAACAAAACTGCGAAAGAATAATGTAATCTGGTGTAGACATTTTATGCTGCCTTATAGATATCTGTCTCATTCTCCCATGTACAAGAAAGGAAGCAGTGGTCATTCTTCTGCTCTATCAAATATGCTATCTCAGTCCTCTCTCACTGGTTACAACGTTACACCACCCAACTGCAAGCTTTCTCTGAGGAACTTCAGCACTCTCCTCACTAGCACCATCTCACTGCCTGCAAGGTGAAGATATCCAGATGGCACTTGGGAGATGAAAATTTCCTCTGCAAGTTCAATAGCATTGGTGACCTCCATCATGGCTGCTGGCTGAAGGTTAAAGAAGTTTTCAAATTAATCAGTGTATTCCAGTTCTGGCTCTGCAGAAACTGGTTCCTTCCAGAGCAAGAATCACGGGCTTTTCCTCCAAACCCTGAAGCACAGCTGATGCCTTGGCCCATTAGAGCACAGAATCTAGAAAAATCTGGTTTGTAGAGGAAGGACCTCTGGAAGGCATTGGTCCAACCTCCTGTTCAAAGCAGGAATAACCTAAAATATGGAGTAGGTTCCTTGTGTGCTGCTTTGCTGAATTTTCAGTAATTCCAAGGATGCAGACTCCACAACCTCTCTCAGCCCTCTTTCCAGGTACCTTGCTTTTTGTGTGCTAAACTAATAGGCCAAGAGCTGAGTACAGGGCTGAAAACAAATCTGTTGACCACACTGTCTCCAGATGAATACTCAAAAATCAAATACCTCAAATCTCTCATCCCTTTGGTAACACCTAGCCAGAATATGGAAACCTTTGAAGTAAGATTATTTGTCAGAAAGAAGAAAGGTTGGCAGCTTTCACAGTTTATGCACAAGGGGGCATTGTACTTGCTTGATACTGTTCACAGTGTGTTCCCAAGAACACTGTTTTGCTGGCCTTCCTCATACAGCACAATGGTCTCCTTGGGAAGCATGGATGTTTGGGGAAAGGGTCTTTGTCCAATCTGCAGCTGACAGAGCCTACTTCAACTGCACAAGGCAGTGCTTTTGAACACATATATATGAAAGACTATCTGCAGAAACCAATACAAGTATTTTCTAGGTTTCCCAAGCCCCTGATGATCAGTCCAACTACATAAAGAGGCTATAAGAAGCAAGCAGAGGTTCCCAAAATGTGCTGATGATCACCCCTGCCCAACCAAGATGGAAGAAGCTAAAGATGTGCAAGCACCTGAGCCTTGCTGCTACTACAGACAGTCCAGACTCCCTCTCACCCCAGGAACTGGCAGGGCATTTCCCCATGCAGCAGGCTAAGCTTTGTGTTGAACGGATCAGCTTGAGTCAAACTCTATTAGCACCCACCTTGAGACAGAAGGCAGGGTCTGATTAAGTCTGCGCTGAGCAAGAAGCCACTATGCTCACCAGAATGGGAGCTGTAAATAAATATGAGATCCTGGCAAAGCACAGCCTAACAGACAGCATGGCAAAGGGAAGTTCTCCTCACGAGGATGGCTGTGCTGGGCAGAAATCATGGGACATCCTACAGAACTGTGTGATGCTGCTAGTTTGGGCTGTGAAAGATCATCATGGGAGTGGAGCTGAGGGATATGGATGCCATTAAGAAAACCTGCCCTTCCCTTTCAGCAGGGTACCTGTTTTGGGTACCCATTTTTGTATTGGTTAGGCTCTTTGACCAGTGCAAATGGAGAAGCAATAACTCTTCATGCTGGTATATTACAGAGAAAGCAATGTATGTAGGCTCTTCTTTACACACTCAGTGCATCAGTCTTGCCTTAGCGGCCAAAGGGGGATGCGAGAAATGTTTGATAACAGCAAACTGGAAACCTTTTGAGGAGGTGGCAAGGCTTCAGCATAGGTCATCCATTACTTGAAAAGAATGCAAGGCTCAGACTATCTTTAATCCCTTCATATATTCATAATCATGCATTTATTACAAAAGATGGGATGCTAAGAATAACTCAAATCTGAGTGAATGGGCAATTTATACATAGAAGGCTTATCGGGCAGTCTGAGGATAGATAATTACCTCTGTCCTGTCTTGCCAGATTTAAGAAAGGCATTTAAGGGAGATAATTATCCTAATTTCTACATAAATAGATTGCACTGTGGTACTCAATATTATCAAATGGACCACATGTAGGTAGAGTCTATTTCAGAACTACAACACTTTTCCAGTGTATCTCTATGGGCTGATAACAAATACCACTCGGAAGCAAATATATGCTAAACCCAAAAACAAACGAACAAACAAAAATCAGATTAGATCTTCTTATTACACTCCCTGTTCCTTACAAATTATTATTTTTAAGATACTTCAGTTTTGTTTTCAGTAGCCTTAAAAGTATCCTTATGAGGCTTGGCTAAAAATTCTCTTCAAATTCTGAAAACTCATCTCACTAAAGTTTGCATTTTTACTATCTGGAGACTGCACAGATCCCGACCCCTAGCCTTGCACAGGGACAGTCCCCTCGTACAACACAGATCAAAGTGGTGGTCTCGCCAGGATGCTGTATGCACAGGGTCAGACCCGCAGAACGGGATTTCGGTGGTTTAAACCGAAGGCTGCATTGGCACAAGCAGGATGACCCTCCGCTGGTTAACACCGAGTTTGGGTGCCGTGATGGTTTTTTTATCTCTGCCTTTCTGAGAGCAGTTCTCGCCGCCGGTGCCGGCTGATGCTTCTCTTCTCCCCAGCGCCGTGCCGCTCCCCGACTGCCCCGACCGGGGCTTCAGGCGGTGTGGATGGCCATCGCCTGCTTGCCGGGCCCCTTCCCGATGACTTCCTGCCTGCAGGCCGCGTTCCGACCCTGCGTTCCCCTCCCTTGAACACCACAGCCCCACCGCGGTCACGGCACGGGGGACAGGGGGTAAGCCACCGCCCCGCAGGTGAACCGCCGAGATCAGAGCTCTGTCTTGTGTAAAACGGGCACAAAACAGCAATCGTTGAATAGATAACTATTTGGGAAAATACATCATAAATGTCCTTATGCGGGCACGGAATTGTAGAAATATTGCATGAGTGTATTAATCCCAAATACTTAGATTTTCAGGCACAAAAATACTAATTTTGTTTTCAGAATGTACAACCCGCTGCTCTTAGCCAAAGGCTTTTTTATTTTCACCACTCGTAAGTTTCACATGAGAATGTTCTCGGCTTTAAGGAAGAAATTTTGTCCTCAGACATT